TCTGTTGTACATAAACGTTTTTGGGAAAAACAAATACAGCAATAACCAAATTATATTTTTGTCGTATTTTTTAAATATTTTATTGCTATACAATAAGATTTTTTCTCCTAAAGCAAACTCTTCTTTCAGTAATATGCCTTGTCAAGTGGATTTGATAATTAAAACAAAAGAAACAAAATAAAACCATTTATGCATTTTTTAAAATTAATTGGTAGCAAATTTGGACAAAATTATGGGAAAGGTTACAAAAAGGTATTACTTAAGATTCTCAATTCTGGCTGCTGCTAAAATTAAGAAAATGTTTGATAATCGCGATCACATCATACTCAAAATCAATTTTTCACCGGAAGGAAATTTGACTTTCGTAGAAACAACGCACTCAATTTTCTCTCTAAACCTGCGGTTCCAGCTCGTCTCTATTTCACGTTACGATTGATTTCTTACTATTTCACGCACCCATAGTTTACGCGCCCAGTGACAGTATTTTTTGACGCTTTACTGCGAGAGAAACGAACTGAAACATGTTTTGTCTACTTTCTCCATATGATTGCTTCCTCTGTTTCACGAGTGGTGCTCGTATGTTCTTTTAACGTTACATGCTAAAGGTATCTCTGTCTACCTCTTTCTTTTCCTCTCTTTTTTCATTTTCAATTATAGTCACTCTTCCCTTTACGGTTGGAGTGAATAGTCAACCAGGACTAACTCCCTCAGTCAGCCTCAATGTCATTCTTAACAGTGGGGTTGACCGGGGGAGTTTTTCCTGTTTAGATAACTTTATTTTTACTTTGACAACTGAATCTCCTTAGACCTCCTTCGTTAGGTGTATAACCTGTCGCTCTAAAAAATTGTGGTCTTAAGAGAACTCTTGGGGGTTCTTCGGCTTGTTCTTTAAGCACCCCCTAAAAGGGTTCTCCGTGAAAAACCTAGAAGGGTTCCTTTTAAAGCTCATTGTTTGACGCGAAAGTGTTCTTAATCGGCCAGTTGCCTTTCTAGTGCGCCAGGGAAAGATAGTACTTGAGATGAAATCGTTCTTTACGAGCTGAAAGAGTTATTGGAGCGTCGAAGACCCTTTCAAAAACCAATTGTTTTTTTCTTCTTCTTGGGTTTTCGACGATCATAGTTGCTACGTCTTCAGCTGTAATCTTGGAAAATGACGATTACGTTATGGGGACCAAGTAAATTCGAAGCTGATTCATCCGGCAAGCAACACCGTGAAGTCCTTAACAGGGAGTGTGATTGCGTTCTACTATAGTACGTAATCAATAGCACCTGCTGTGCAGGGTCTGTCACTTTGCCACCCGGCCTGGTACTTGGCATGCGACGATGTGTGTCTTGCATAGCTCGAAAAAGAAATGCGCACGGTACCACGGGGACGCTTGAAAATGTCGTTCAGAAATATATAGGACACTGCAGCTGTAGTGAAAGGGCGTGAAAGACCTGCTCACGCATTCCCATCTCTCTGAGGCATAGATTGCTCGTCTAAAGGCATATTCGGTAAAGCGTATCTGGTGTGCTACGTGCAGGCTTATAAGAATCACTAGTAAGGCAAGTTAAGGCAAAGACGTGTGTGTATAAGCATCCTACGAAAGTGAAAGCAGCGCTTTTCTACTCAGTTTCTGTTTGTACTTTAAGCGCTACAGGAGGATTTCGGCAGTGCATAGACTCCAGTGACAAAATGAGTTTTGATTTCACGCATTTATTTTGTTACGATAATCTCGCACCTCAAAACAGTTCTTGATAAGCTCCTATCGAAACGCTTAGTTTTAGATGAGGTGACTCTCCTCGCAAGGCGAGGACAGTCAACTTCACGCGATACTTTATTCTTGGCTGAAATATGCAAAAGAAAAACTGCACAGTCAATAACTGCAAAGCGTGGTGAACTTAATGCTTCGTCTAAAGCAAAAAGGTGAGCAGACGACTTCGGAAAGTAAATTCTTTATCCGACAGCTCGAGCAACCCAAGTAGGGCCACGTGCTGCGGTATATAGTGACCTTGGTAGCATTGCAGACAACTTGCGTTATGAAATATAGTTACTTTTAGTTGCTGCTGGGCCATACAAATCTATTTGTGGTATATATTAAAGGCCGCGGAACCTCAAGTAATTTGATAAAGTTGTTCCAGTGTTCTGTTTAGCACTGCTTTCTTAATTGACGTTGAAATTTGTGTTGTTGTCTTGACGTTAGTTCTACTGATACATTTATATTTTCAGCATCGGAGGAGGCCATGCTCTCGGAAAAGGCGTGCAAAAAATGAGCGCACACGAAGGCCAAGACGCACCCACTGTCAAAAAGCACATATGCACACTCACGCACTCGCACAACGTAAACACGCGTAACAGACTTAAAGCAGTGACCTCTACCGTTACGTGTATGTATACATAAAAAACTCTGCAACACGACGGGGGAAAAATAAGTATATAAAATATATATATATATATATGTATGTCTCTGGCGGCTCTTTCCAACTATATGTAAAAAAATCGGGGAAGTGGGAAAACCATAACAAACAAACAATAATATATTAACAAAGCATACGCTTCATATGTACAAGCTCCGATAAAAAGAATACAACATCGTGAAATCATAACGCAAAAAAAAGGACAACGTTCTGCTCGCGGTGACAGTGCGTAAAAATTATAAAAATATCTACTTCACAAGAGTGCAACGAGTACTCACTCCCTATTCGCGATGCCAACTAGCTTTCAGTTTAAGTAAAAGTTGGAAACGTGAACAAGACAAAGGAGTTCACAAAATGGGAGATTGTGTTTACGGCCATGGTCACTGAGAACGGCGTGATATGGCTGGTCCCCACCGGATAGTCAATGAGATTTCAGCGTCAGCAGACGACAGCGACGATGAACCAAATAAGACGTGGGAGGAACGCCACAAGAACGAGACACTCACTTGTCGCTCTTAAGTTCTGAGCGACTGTCGAGGTGAGGTTTTTAAAGGCAACAACGAGCGATAAAAGCTTCTAAGCAAAGAGAATTGGCAAATAAAAAAAATAATCGTGTATACAATATTTTTTTTCTTTTTTAACAGGAAGAATTGTTTTGTATGCTTTTTTGAAGGAAAAAAATCTAGTTAATTGGGTTGTTTTCCCGTTGCCTAGCAGCACGGTCAGCGCCACCTAGGGACAAGGCTGTAACACTATTTTCTATATCGTCTAGCGCGGGTCACTGGGAGACAAATATCGGACACTAGTATACTGCATCAGTGTTGGGCTGGGACTCGTGCGCTTCACCAGATTATATACTCTCAACAGCTGAACGCTGACGTAGTCCTCTCCTCAATGCGTGATCTGAGCGGCCTTCGGTTGGTGACGTATAAAACTCGAGCACTACGGCCTTGCCTCTAGGTGGCGTTAGTACGTGGCACGGACGAATATATAACCGGGATTGCAACCGCAGCCTTGGAGAATGCAATAAGCGAGTTGTTGCCCTCGCGTGTCACTGGAGTTACGAAATCTGCTGATTAAGACGTAAACGTTTTTTGGACACATTTAACGCCCGAGCCTGCACTCTCATTTTGATCACGTTATGCGCAATCAATGTGAGATAAAAGCCAAGTAAATATTTCGGAAATATCTTTGTCTACAAATGGTTTTTGCCGTAATTAAAACGATGAAGGCCAGTTAGGCAACAGTTTCACATTAGAGTCACTGATATCCTTAAGAACGCAAGGCATGGCGAATACCCAACATCTCATTAACGGTCTGCAGTCAATAAGATTACAGCACCAGTCGACGAGACAGCCGAAGGACCAATCGCGAAGCAAGAGACGAGAACATGACACGCCGTACCCTGCCTTTTTTGAGTTGTCAATAACTCTAATAATTTTTGTTGCCCTCTTGTGATTTTTGTTTTTTATTGCATACTTGCTGACTTGGGTTTTCATTGAAACGGCGTCTATACAGATCACCGCACACGTAACGCTTCCAACGTCTATAGTTTAAAGCACGAAATACACTATATATCAGGCTTTGTCTTGCGTTTTCCTTCTTACTATATCGGCATGGACCACAAAAAAGTGTGGCTGTATATGGGCACAGAAAAAGCGATCGAATGTTTAACGGCAGCGACACGCCTGTGATTTCACATCTAGCACACACTTCTAAGGCACACTAACAACGCGCGTGAACGGCCCCGTCTCACTAGAACGACAAGCAACAAACACTGCTCGCCAGTGGGTCACCAACAGCTGAGAAAGCAACATGTTTTCAAAACATGCACTTGCGGCGAAGAGGTAGATCTAGTTTAGTACGCCAGCGGGCAAAACATCGGTGCTTGTCGCGCTAGTGCAACAAGGTCACAAAAGACACAGCTTGGGGACGGTTGAATTGCTCGACAGCTTCCCCCTACTTGAAAATCCAGCATTGAGGCACGCATCAATCCCCGCCTTATGACACGCAGGCTAGATGCATTTTGCGTGCTGTCTACGACCCCGATTGAGAGTTTGGAGAGAAAAAAAAACATCGATTGATGATGCTTCCTGGCGAGTGGATCAGATACAGACCTGGTAATGGATTTTCAAGTAGGACTAGGGGTCATTAGCATGCAGGTAGAGTCGCTGCGCTTGCAGAAGACACAACATCAAATGGGGCACTTTTTGTTTGTTTGTTTGTAACGCGAGAATTCTTTAGCAAGACAAACTGCAATCACCGATTCGTGAAGTCTGTAGGAGTGGTGTTGGTGGCGCCAACCTTAGCACAAACGACGCACCTTCACAAACACCACCCTGAGAATGTGATAAACAAGACCGACAAGTGACGCTTTGGTCCGCCGAGCACCAACCGGGTTCACAGAGGCCGAGACATTCGGTGTCTGATTTTCGCGCACTCGACGACATCTCGGAGTTCAAACAACACAAGAAATAGCCGTCGATGTCGTCGGGGAGTCGGCGACGTTAACTGCATCACGGAGGGACTTGCGTCGCATAACAAACCGAAATGGCGGCCTGGAGCCTCGTCAACTCCGTTCAAGCGATGGAGCGCGCGCCGGTTCACACCGACGTGTGCCTCTTCATGTGCAAGGACAGGTGGTCTGAACGCGAGAAGGCGCGTTCGCAGAGGCGGCACTGAAAAGGCCGATCACCGGTGTGCTTCCGATAGTGTCTTGTGAGCTCGTCCGAACGGGCAAACTTCCAGCCGCACTCTTTCCAGTTGCACTGATACGGCTTCTCTCCTGTGTGCGTCCGTAGATGCGCCTTGAGATGTGAACTCTTGGTGTAGCTCTTGCTGCAGCCCGGGTGCGAGCAGGTGTGGATGGTGACTTTCTTCCGGCTAAGACTCCGCTGCTGGCTCTTCTTGGCGGGACTCCCCAGGATAGGCGACGACCTGCAGTACTGGTCCGGCAGATGGACTTCGGGAGGGATGGCTGTTGGCGAGAAAGGGCCGTGCGCCATGGCACTGCCGGCGCTAAGAAGGTCCGCTAACCTAGGAGACGACGGAGGGGTCACCATTCTTAAATGGGGCGGCGTCAAGTTCTGCTGTTTCGGTTGCTGTTGCTGTTGGAGGCAGTGGCTGAGTACGTCGGTCTTGATAGACATCGGATGGAGAGCCGGGTGGACGTGGTACCCGTTCTGCTCGAGGGCTCCCAGCGGATGGCCTAGTTGCGAGTGGTCCGGAGACGCTGGCGGAGACATCTGACTTGAAGGCGGCGTCTGGGCGATGCTGGTCCTTTGGTAGTTTGTCCAGAGGGACGTGTACTGAGATCCTGCCAGGACGGAGGTGTCGAACTGAGGCGCCAGGTTTGCTTTTATTGACGGCGACTGATGGTACGTCGTCTCAGTCGTGGTGGTCGTCGTCTCAATGTTGTTGTTACTGCCCGATGCGGGGCCACCCAAGTAAGGCTGAAGTTGCGGCTTCAGTTCCAGCTCAGCGGCGGCGTAGGTGACATCGGGGTAAAGGGTGGAGCTATCAGAATTAAGCATAAAGTCGAAGTCTAGGGTCACGAACGACGGGTTTGTTGCAGCCATGGCTGGTGGATGTTGTTGTTGGCCTTGTTGTTGCTGCTGGTGTTGTTGTTGTTGTTGTTGGTGTTGTTGATGCTGCTGGATTTGCTCTTGCTGCTGGGACTGCTGCTGCTGCTGCTGCTGTTGTTGATGACGGTTTTGCTGCTGATGATGCTGAGGCGCCGTCGCGGCCGGCTGGCGGTTTTGATGGGGCGGCCGGTTGGGGGTCGGGGATGTCAGCGCCGCGGCCAGGATTGCGCTATTGGCCGAGACCGAGGCTTGTGGCTGGTTTCTGCTGGAGCCCGTGCTGGTCTTGAGACCCGTCTCCTGGTGAACGGGGCTGTCTCGCGTCCGCTGTGGACCTTGAGATTCTTTGGCGCAGGTCGCGTTGTCCCGAGGACCGCCGATATCTCCTAGAAGCACGCTCTCGATATCCTGCCAGACCTGCGGGGAGAAACCAAAGAACGACATCTTGTAATACCTGATGCCTTTTCCACGTCACAAGCACATTCGAACTTTGAGGTAGCGGATTTTTACAAAACAAGGGACATATGTCAAATCAGTACGGCACGAGAGTTTGTCGTCACTTCAGAATAGCGGCTACGAATGTTTACTTGATTTTCATCAGAATTTTCGTCCGGTTGCCTATATACTGCACCCCATGTAAAATAAGATGATAAGGTTGATTTAATACTTAAGTGGGGTTCTCAGTCATGATTACAAACGTATACCGAACTTCCCTATAAGGTTTATTACTTGAAACACTTCACTGCCTCTTTTGTGAAATAGTCACCGCACTGACATTAATAACCGATTCACAAACACACGACCAAAAAGTCGTGATTCCGTGTGTTTGGACGTTATAGCTAAGAATTAAATAGCGGAAGATCGCTTCAATTGAGCACCTTGAGCGAAACACAAGCTGGAATCAGGGCTCGCTCTTTTCATAAAGATTTGCATATTTCCGGATTTAAGCTCCCCGTGTGTTTCTGAGAAAAGGAAAAACAATGGGATTACCATGACTTCATTCAAGCATTGCTTTGTCTACATGCCGAGCGAGCCGACCGTGAGCCAGCACGCTAAGAGATGAATTCACGGAAGGTTATAAGCGAACTTAATAGTCAACGTTAGCATGAGATCCGATTCCCTCACAAGATGTCTCGGCTGTCTCAGCCGACGTTGCGATGCCTTCCAGATAGCCGCGGTCTTTCTTTGTTCGGGTTAGGTTTTCGAGCAAGGTTGTGCGGCCGTGTGGGTACGAAAGATGACCTCGAGAAGAAGAACGCAGTCACGTAACGGGAACAAGACAAAATCCGGCGACGCGGGAGCTTTTGTCTTCTCCCGGAGTTGATGGAACACCCTTCCGAGGAAAGCGTGCATAGCAAAGCGGGGGGATGGAGATTACGCTGAGACAATTAAATTAGGCCCGCGCATGTAGGTTAATTAGAGGTCATTAGAGGTCCGCTGTTGGGCCGAATGTGTACATAGGTTTTCAGGCTGTAAACGGAAGTCCGAGAAACCGTTGTTATGTGTGCGTCTTGCTTTTTCAAGGGAGGTAGTAGTTAGCATTCCTATCACGATACATCGACGAACAAAAGGGAGGATCACAGTGAATGCTTCGCATCTGTTATTTAAAGTGTCTGATCACCGCAAAGAGCCACCAGACTTTCAGTTCAGAAATGTTTTGTTTCGAATTGGTTAATCTTAAAACGCTTTTTGTTTTTTAAAGTAGTTTAATTACAGAAAAAAAACACAAAATCATGAAAGAAAAGGAAAACAAAAACAATTGGAGACGCATTCTTTTTATGAAGCAATGGCGATGGTGCAGGCTAGCTGGTGTAAATTGAGCATTGTTCTAAACCCGAGACTGGGGATACGGACAAGAGACAAACACAGGACGACACGGACGTTCTGTGTTTGTCCCTTGTCCGTATCCCCAGTCTCGGGTTCACAACAATGCGTGTTCTTTTTGTTTCTTGTTGATACGAATAAAATACGCTTTCCATGTGACTTTTCTCTGTGGAAAAGCATAGAAAGTGTATCACGTACTTGTACATTAATCAGAACTTTGGAACCAAACCAGGTTAATTAAAGCTAGGTTGGCGACGATATAGGAGACACTTATAAACAGTATACTGTTTCGAATAATGGCTCGCTTCATGTATATGGTGGTGTAAAATAAAAAAGACAGCAGAACAAACGCTTATGGAGTTCTAAATATCCGTACTCCACAAGGGTATCGATCCCCTCATTTTGATGCAGAAGTTAAACTGTTCACTAGAGCCTCTTGTACAGTTCCAGCACGGATTCAGCTGAACAAAATGGAGTATGGTTGCTCCTGCTGGGGTACCACAGTATTCGAGAGTGTATGCACAGAGTTCGGCGCGGAATAAATCGTGAAAAATTCTGCTTGGGAGCGTCGCAGCGAATGCTGCGACTCTCCCGAACAGAATCGCAGCGAAGTTCGACGTCAAACAACGAGGTTTCACTGATTCATTGAACCTACGAACGTTTGGGAAATTTCGACGCAGTTCGACTTCTTGAACACTGCTGCCCGACCAGGACACAACATTTTCAAGCTTCGGGAATAGATAATGCGAAATATACTTGGATATAAATGTAAGAGAATAATGACGATGTATGCATAATTTAAATAAAAATATCGTCGTTTAACGATATAATTATCTTCTAATGGAACGAATCTACCCGACCAGTGTTGCAAACTTCCTCCACCAGGCGGCATCAGCGCGTTTTCAATTTCTGCGCATGCGCACAGTAGTCGAACGAAGTTCTGTCCAGCCTCGCGTTAAAAGTTCGAAATATTCGAACCTGCTCGACCTCGAACCTTGCTCCGCGACGCCCTTAAGGACAGGAGAGTGCGACAGAACATGACCAAGCCGTTGAGTCACTTTCCTTCCTCCTTCGTGTAAACCTTGGTGCGTGTAGTTGCGACGCAGAGACCGCCGTGCTTCCCTCCGGTGATTTATTTGGTAGATCGTATATCGATCTCGTTGGAGGCAGGCTTAATGTCCGATCAATTAAACGCGGCTCGATGGCCGTTACCTCGGGTGTCCAAAGGACAGCCCCCCTCTTTGCTTCATCTCGTTCGAAGTTGGGAGAAAAGCGAAGGCTGCAAACCGGATGGACTGATAGAAAATTCTGGAATGCGTCGTGACACCAGTGTACGTCAGCAAGCCGTAATTGCTGGAATCAAGGGATAGTTGAATTTCTGATGAGGTCTATATTTCACGGGACTGCTGCCACGTTGAGGTATGACGTGGTTGGGTCGGGATACGACGAGCAAAAGTAAATAGTTGCAGCGTAACTTCAATAAAAAAAAATTATAGCAGGCAGAAATGGAACCAGGGACACGAACTCCCTAAATTCTAGCGCCTTCCGATTGCTAAATAAAGTGAAGTCGGCATTTTGCCCGATCCCAGCTACGTCAAACTTCAACATGGCGGCCACTGCGAAAAAGCGGCGAAAGTGTGAGTCCACTTTCCTGCAAAGTACTGGTGAGAATCAGTCGTCGCAATACACGGAGCTTATCATCCGTGATAACCTTTTTATCCACGTTTTAAGACGGCCAGACTCGCTCTCGCTCCACGAGTGGAAACTTGAGCGCGCCCCCGTACTTACCACGTTCTTTAAAAATCTCTAAAATTGACTGATATTGTTGTTTTAATTTATGCTCAGAAAGTTTCTAATTGAAACTACGAGTTTACTTTCACTAACTAAAAAGTTGATTGACAAATTTAATTATCCGACTTATCGTGACAGTTACCTTGGCCGTGTTACTCACCTGTACAAACCGAAGTATAGTCTGACTTTCACGGTTTTTTTTAAACTAAATCTTTTCGAATTAAAATAAACAGCCTCTGTAGTCTAAAACGAAAGTTAGAAGGAATCTGATTTGCATCAGTTGGCAAGCGAGAACGTAATAATGAACGGCGACCTCAGCAAGGGGGGTGCCTTAGCCTAATCGGCAAGTCCGACGCGGCTTTAGACACAGCGCGGGGCAGAGTGGGGGACCCATTTTGTGGGAGGACGTGGCAATAATTTAGGGCCTAATTTGCGGCCATAACAATTGTGCCCGATACCGAGCAGACGAATGAAGGTTCGACGAAGTTGGTGCATTTCGGTTTTTGCTTTAGTTTTTCTTTGTGCGGTTCGGGCTCGATCGATTGCCGTGTCGCCGTAATTAAATCCGCGATGCCGTACAACCCACGCGCAGTTGTATCTCGAAGCATGAGACCTGATTATTTTTTCAATTTATTTTTTTTTTTTTTTTGTATCCTGATACGAAAGAAAAGTGATTAAAGCTACCTTTTCCAGTTAATATATCTAAACTTTGAGGACGCTTAAGCTTCGCCTTTAAGAGTGGAACGCGATAGCGAAACATATAAACATACAAACTCCCGATCGTTCCCAAGCCGTGAATGCGTGCCCTCCGTATGCGTGGCCTAGTCTGTGGCGTGTCTGACTTGCAACCGAGAGCTTGTGGGTTCGAATCTTGGCTTAAAATCGCCAAATGTATACACGCAAGTGAATGGTTTCACAAAGTGAAATCATTTGAGACGTGCGGCGACCTTTATACCGCATTACATGTCATGTTATTTAATCACTTTCATTCCGCACGTGACGTCACGTTTCAAGTGAACTCTGTGAGCTGTTTGAAATTATCCGCGCGAGGTCATGTGGCGCTGACTTCATGACCCTTTCAACCAATCCTGGATTTTAGCGAACGCCACCGACGCCGGCTTTTCTGCGACAGGAGCTCCTTAGCGCTATTGCGTGAAAACGTATCTCATTTATATAAGGCGCAGATGAGGCGCATATAAGTTATTATATGCACCTTATCGGCCTATAAGTACACGAATGACGAAAATAATCCCTGGAGAAGGGGAACAAGAGGGACAAAGGACAAACATAAATCTCCAAACACAGCTAGGTGACTGGTGAGCTACCGAAAAAATCCGCCTGGTCCGGGTATCGAACCCGGGACCTCTCCTTTGCATTTCATTGCATTATAACTATAAGTACACCTTTATTTTTTAAAATAAAGGTTGACTTATTGGCTTACCCGAAGCAGTGTGGTCATTGCGAATCCTGTACTGCCACCCTCAAGTGAAACTGCGTCGCCGAATGGTTCTTTCAAATTGTTGGAGACTGTACCTTTGTAGCCAGTTGGTGCTCATAGAAGCGAAAACAAATGTTGCTAACAAATATCCTTAGACGCGCACTCTTGGAGTGCGTCTACAAGCTAATCCTTCCAATCACATTCCCTCCGTTCCCTCCATCTCTCACCATACCGAAAAAAACAAAATATGTTCCCTTCGCTTTTAACCTTTTTGTTATTTTCAACGACCGGAATTATTCACTACAGATTTACCATATTCAGGCTGCGCTAAATCTATTCCAAATAATTTTTTTTTTCGTTTTGTTTACGGAGCAAACTCATATTAAGTTTT